CTCTCTCTCTCTCTCTCTCTCTCCCTCTCTCTCCCTCTCTCTCTCTCTCTCTCTCTCTCTCTCTCTGTGTGTCCTGGTATGTGTTTGCTGTTCTTAATGGTCGTTGTCCTGGCTAGTGTTTGTCGTTGCTGGCTGCAGTTGGTTGCCTAGCAAAACTCTCACCGTTCGCCACCAAAAACCTCCGCCGCCGTCGCCGTCATCATCGTCATCATCATCACCATCATCATCGACGACGCAATGAAAGACGATTCCGCCGACACCACACTCCTTTCCACTGTTTCCTTCTCCGCTCATCATCTTGGTTGCTGTGTGTGTTTTCCAACACAGTACTAGTGCATGAAGTTGCATGAACAAGGCCCGTCGCCTTGATTATTAGGCCGGTGATTTTGCGTCACGTCACAGAGATGGGGGAATTCAAGTGGTGCCCGATGATGCGCCGAATAAGGCCGATCGATTCTCTTGGCACTATGGGGGCCTTAGACAGGGACCATTGCTGCACCGTTTCTCTCACGAAGCCCCCCATCGCCTTTGCTGTGTGTTATTTACCAGCGTTACTTGGACGTTTGTCGGCAGGTGTCCTATCGTTTCTCTCTCATCGCTTTTCTTCTCGTTGGTGCTGTGTGTTGTCAATGATGTGATGTTTGTCATCAGGTGTTGCATCTTTTTCTCTCTCCACGCCGCCTGTCGTCTTTGTTGTGTGTGTTTGCCAACGATACCGTGGTATTAATCATCAGGTGTGGCGCTGACGGGAGACCCTGACTACCGCATCGTGATGGAGGCGTACCCTTTCGTTACCCGCAAGATCATCTCCGACGACTCTCCGGCGCTGCAGAGGGCCCTGAGGGACATTCTATACAGGTTGTTGTTGTTGTTGTTTGTTGTCTTGATCACCATGAACGCGGACCGTTGGCACCGTTGGCCAGTTCTCGCTGCCTTGACTTCTCCAACTATCCCGACTCTTTTCGGTTTGGGGGTGACCCTCCTAGCTTGGATAGATGCACCAAGGGGATGTCGCGTCGCCGTACCCCTTCTTGCTGCACCCAAATGCTATTTGCTGCGTTGCGTATCCCTCTCGCTCTCTCCCCTCTCATCCCTTTCGCTCCCCCCCCCCCCCCCCCCCCCCCCCCCCC